AATTTTTTTTTTTTTTTTTTTTGCTTTTTGAAACAGGGTCTCACTACATAGTTGAGACTGGCCTGGAACTCACTAGGTAACCCAGGCTGGTCTCGAACTCACAGCAATCCTCCTGCCTCAGCCTCCCGAGTGATAGGATCACAGACGTGTGCCACCACACCTGGCATATGTGAAATCTTTTGATTTTTAAAATTTCTATTGTTTTTTATTTTTATCAAGATTTTTGTTTTCTTTCATTTATTTTTGTTTGTTTGCTTTGAGACAGGGTCTCACTATGTCATTCAGGCTGACCCCAAACTCACAGTGATCCCCCTGCCTCAGCTTCCCGTGTGCTAGGATTATAGGTGAGCACACCATGCCTCTGATTGTTTTGAGACAGGGTTTTGCTTTGTAACCCAAGTTGGACTTGAACTCACAGTGATCCTCCTGCCTCAGCAATTACAGGCATGTGCTATCGTGCCCAGTTTAAGATTTTTATTTTCAAGAGATATTTAAATCCTTTAGGGCCAGGGATCTAGCTCAGTGGTTCTGCCGCCTGCCTCGCAAGTGCAAGGACCCGAGTTTGATTCCCAGTTCCAAAAAGATAATAATAATAAATAAATAAATAAAATAGCTGTATTGATTTGTATCTTTGTATGTGCTCAATTTGAGTCATTTGTGAGATACACATATTAGCAGGGACAAGGGGAAAACATGAGAACCAAGACCTGTCATGTAAAGGTACAAGATCCCAATGATGAATGTAGCTGTATTGTATACCTAAAATGTACCAACAAACTGAGTGAGAAAAAAAAATCCTTTAAATATTTTTGCTTGGTTTGTTTGTTCTTGTTGTTTTATTGTTATTGTTGTTATTTCTGGCACGAGGGATAGAACTCAGGATCTTGTGCTTGTGAGGCAGGCAAGGAGCCACTGAGCTAAATCCCTGGCCCTAAATGTGGCTTTAAAAAAAAAATCTTATTCATTCTTCATGAAAGCAGTAACTATTTTTTCTCTCTCAGACCATAGCATGTAGGTTTGAATTCTTCGGGAAGCTCTGTTCTGGCTTTCTGTTTCAGCTCTCCACGCTGAGGCTTTGTTCAGAGTCTGTTGACTTTTACCTACTCTTTTATACTTAAGCAGGGGCCCTGAAGCCTAACCAGACTTGCATGTGGAAGGGCAGTCTGAGTTGTACACTTCAGGGCAGAGCTGGGGGGCCCAGCTGTTCCCAAGAGCAAGCCTCCCCAGAACCTGGTGTGGTCTCTAGAGTTCATCCCTTGGGCATCATTTCCCCAGGGAGAAATTCATCCCAGTCCCATTGGTGGGACTGGTGGAAGCAGACCTGGATATCAGCACTCTAAGAGCCAAATTAGGAAGGAGGTTTAACACTTGCTTTGAAATAGAGTGATTTCCCTTATCACTAAGTGCAGCACTCCAACCGTTCAGCTGTGCCTGAGTCCAGAGTGCCTTGGTTCAGTCTCTCAGTTGATGCCAGTGTGTGGGAGCCCGCTGGCATTTGACATTGGAAAAGTAACTTCTACCATTGAGGCATTGACACAATCTATGACTCTATTTGGCTTTTCTGAGATGAGGGTCTCAGCTATGCAGATGAGATTGACTTGGAGCTCTCTGTGTAATCCAGGCTAAACTCACTGTGTAATCCAGGCTGGGTTTATGGGATTACGGGTGTCGACCTGGAGCTCACTGTAATCCAGACTAGTTTTATGGGACTATGGGCGTGCACCACCACGCCCGGCAAACAATACCACTGGACTCGTCAGGTTGAGTGGGGCCTTCACCTTTACATCAGCGGCCGTGATCCGGGTCTCACCTTTTCCATCAGGCTTTTGAAAGAACCACCTCAGTTCAAACCCATTGCCATTGGCCCCAACCCCCTTCTTTAAGAATGTTGCTTTTTTAAAGATAAACTGGGCCTGGTGGATGATAGCATTAGAAGGGTTGAGGAAAGCCTCGAACAAAGGCAGAAGCAACGGGAAAAGGACGAATCTTGGTATCAAAATTGGTTTTCCCCTTGCCCCGCTTGCCCCTGGAGATTGTTAAGTTAAAGATTGCATAGGGTTAATTGTTGATGTACGCCTTCCCACTTACCCCTCCCCACATTTGGTAAAATACTGATTGCTGTATGCTGATAAATGCTTTGTCCCTTTATGGTTAAATGCTTGAGTGACTCATGTGATTGGTAGAAGATTTGTTTGAACTGTCCAATAAGCTTGCTGAACCTTCCCCCTGGGATAACAGTATATAATCGTTTTGCTGAGCCAATAAAGAGCCTTTGATCAGAAATCAGACTTGGGCCATGTGCTCTAACTTCTTAAAGATTTCCTTCACAGACATTCAAGATCGGATCGGCCTCTGATGACCCACGAATAAGAGGCGGCTCTCACCTCCTATTCCCCGCTGGACGGGGTCCCCCCAGAGAGCCGCACCAGTGCAGAGGACTAGGTTATCTGTGCTACAGAAAGGGAAATAAGCTTCATTTACAGACTTACAGTCTATTCTTCTGTATTCAGCCTGGCTGCTCACCCACCCCAGCCTTCAGAGATGCTCTCTGTAGACAGTGTGC